GTCGCTATTTCCATGGAAACTGTTTATAGTTCCCTTCACTCTAACCCTTCCAGCTAAGAACCGCAATATTCCTTACATTGAGGCGAACCTTACAAAGAAGAGTAATTTGCAACCGGATACCTTCCAAAGATCTCTTGCATTGTGGAGCAGAATCGTAGAATCCGATTTTCTGCAACACTATAGTGTTAAGCTTTTAGTGTACAAACTGCTCTCTCGATTAGTTTGTAACACATCTATTTATCATATCTCAGTTGCGTCTCTGTCTTTAGGCAGTGTGCACTCAGGGGCGGCTCCGTCAGAGGACAGAGTCGCAAATGAGGGAAATTATACTGAGAAGTGCCCAGCCCTGGGGAACAGCTACCCGAAGCCGCGCCCTCTCATTGCACCTGAGAAAGTGATCGGTTCGCGCAGCGAGGTGAGCGAAACGGACGGTTGCGTAGGCTACGGGCAATTTTTGTTCCTATCCCGGATTTATGCGCTCGGCTCCCCACCTTAAAAACTGACCTTGTGTCACAATTCGTCTTAGTGGGGAGATAGATTTAAATACCTTGTGTTAACCTTTTCAAGGATTAATTATTATCTTTACACACATCTACATAAACTGAAACCCCACCTTACATGCAACAAAAGTATTCAGTAACTTCAGACTGGCCCATGGATCTTGTATAGTGTATAAGATACGGTAGCGGCCATAATATAAGGAACGGAAACAACAAAGACATAAATATGTGTATTACTTAAAAAGTAATGCATGATTAGCAATGAAATTTTTACCGAATAAAGATTAGGGTGTAATGCATAAATATTATGCAAAACTTACGTACGCTGTAGAACAGGTGAAAAACTGTCTTCTCAATGTGTCAAGAAAACCGTTAAGTTTGGTGGCGGCAGTGTGATGGTATGGGGAATGATTTCATCTGCAGGAGTTGGCCCTATCATCCGTGTACATGGCAAGAGATTTACAAAAGGCTTCTTCAGCAGCCTGTGGTACCAAGATTACACCATAATCTTTATGAATCTCCTATTTTCATGCAGGACAATGCACCTTGCCACAAGGCTCAGAAGGTTATGGCTTTATTTGAAGAAGGAATCGCCCTAATTAGTGGCCAGCCCAGAGACCCGACCTGAATCCAATAGAAAATGTTTGGAAGATAATTGGAGAAAGGGCTCAGAAAAGAAACCCGAAAAACCAGGATCATCTATGAGGGTTACTGAAAGACCAATGGGAGGGAATTACTGCTGATTTTTGCAAGAAATTAATTAGATCATGTGGCCGACGATGCAGAGAAGTCATTGAAAATAAGGGGATGTTTATCAAATATTAAATTTTGTTGATATTTTGTTCACAATCAAGTATTAACAAGATGGTTCCTTCACTTTTGTCCAGTAGCTTATTTCCTTTGTTCCATTTAATCTTTATTTTAAAAAATAAACTATTATGTAAATTTTTATAACTTTGTATAATATTTATGCATTACACCCTAATCTTTATTTCGGTAAAAATTTCATTGCTAATCATGCATTACTTTTTAAGTAATACACATATTTATGTCTTTGTTGTTTCCGTTCCTTATATTATGACCGCTACTGTATATCCGTGTTTTAAACTCCTTTCTATTTTTCTGTATTTATTGAATTCATTTTCTTTCCGTATGGGGGCAGTTTGCTCTTCTGGATTATTTCAATTTCCTTTATTATGTGCCGTGTCTCAGAACGGAGGCGATCATGGCTCTCCACAATTTCCTGTCTTTTGTAGCTCTTAATAAATATTGTCATGTTATTTCTCGTAAACTTGTTCTGCCATCCAAATACTCAAGCTCACTAAGTATGTTATGCGTTGTTTTCCTCTGTCCTTCTTGCTTTTAATCTGCCCTGTGAGTATCAGTTTTTCCAAGCCATCCTTGCTTGTGCCCTAGAAATTTCAACTGTCTCTTCCTGATGTTTCCTTTTTGTTTCTATGTTTTCTAAACCTTCGTTGTTGCTCACATAATGGATCCCTAGTATCCTCAGCATCCTTCGGTAGAACTATATTTCTATTACTTCAAGTCTCTTCTTCATCTTTGAGGAGATTTGTCCAGCAATCACTGCAATACAGGAGGACAGATATTAAGTAAGTTAGTACTTTTTTCACTGCTTCTAGCGATTTTTTTTTCATTTTCTTAATACTTTTCTTAGCTTTTGGAAGGCATCTTTGGTTATCCCAATACGCCTTTCGATTTAAGTGCCACACTTTCGCTCTCTGTTAAAACACTTCCCAGATACATAAATTTCCGCATTTGCTTGATTTTGGTATCTCTGATTTGCAATTGATATTTTGGGCTTATTCTTTTGGTAACAGCCATGCATTCTGTCTTCTTGTAGTCCTTCCTTCCCAAATAAATCAAGCTAACCTAAAACAAAATGTCTAACGGCGAGAACCGAAGGTTATCCCTTGATTTACCCTCTTATTAAGACATAATAGTAGTCATCCATATCACTGTTTTTACGCGTCTTCTCTTCTGCTGCACAAGGTACGGTTAAAATATTTAAAAATACATTAGTGGAATTAATGTCGTCATCTTTCGAATGTCTTATGAGGATGATATTTCTGAGAGATATATAAGTGAGGTATCTCTGCTGTACCCTGGATATGCATTGAATCAAATATATATATATATATATATATATATATATATACACACACACGTCCGGTTGCCTCTAGCTAGGATTGAAACCCGACTGAATTGGCGTAACTGCACAGCGCTAGATCAGTGATGACAGAATAGTGAGTTCAATCATCATTGGAAGGCCCATAATTTCGGCCACATCAAAAAGCTTTAATCTGGCACCACGACGTTGTGTAATGATTAAGAAACCTCTTTTGCTAGAATAGTTAAAACTGGGTAGTGATTTCGATCCTCACTGGGTTCCCCAAACTTTTGGCCTTGCGTGACATCTACGCTACGGATAGAAAACCACCATTTAGCTTCACGGTTACCAATGTTTTATTTTATCAAACATCAGATGAGACGAAAAAATGGCGTGTCGTTACCCTATATGGGATGGAGACGCCGAATAATTACTTTCCTGCCTTGATCAATTTCCTAATCGCTTACACGGCCTTGTGGGCGGTGACTTGGTTTACACTCCTCAACTTGCCAAGCCGATCGCTATTTCCAGGGTAAAGGTTCAGATGAGCGACATTGTTTAGTTCAGGTACGATCTCACTTTCTACGACTTCCCATGCTATGTCCACGAATTTGAAGCATTCACATTTCCCCCGTATTCCAATTGTAATGAGTAGATTCCACTCAGAAAGTGTCCTCGAAACGGATAATTTGTAGAACAGACTTCCTGAAGATTACAATTTTAATCTATTAAAGTCAATGGTTAATCGTTATCTATTCTACTTATCTCACGATCTTCACTGCTTTCTAGTGCTTTCCTCCATAAAATACGTCTCTTTCAGTCTGATTTTTATGGGGACATCTGCGTCTGTCTGTGGTGTCTGTACTCTCCTTAAAGTTCAGACTCCAAAATCGATGCTTCTATCATTTTTTAATGTTTTTCATTTTGTGAAAAAAATTTTATGTTGAGTTTTTTTTTTTTTTTTCAGGTTAAGCTGATTTTAAATATAGCTTGTCAAGCAGCAAATGATTTTTCGGGTGTGCCTTTGTTGTTTTCTAATTTCCAGTATTTTAAAAGCCGTCAGAGTGGAAATTTCTGTAAGTATTTTTTTTTAAAGTGGGCCTGAAACACACAGGCACAGACACACACAGAGACACACACATACACACACAGAGGCACACATACACACACACACACACATATATATGTGTATATATATATATATATATATATATATATATATATATATATATATATATATATATATATATATATATATATGTGTGTGTGTGTGTGTGTGTGTATATGTATATGTGTGTATGTATATGGATGTGTGTGTGTGTGAAAAATGGAAAAAAAGTCAAAAGGTTTCTTTACCGATAACGCGTTTCGCGAACAGGCGAATATATATATATATATATATATATATATATATATATATATATATATATATATATATGTATATATGTATATGTATAATGATATATTAGTAATCTGTATGGGAATTTTGAGGTAAATTTTCAGACCTTAACGAAATAAATATCACCTCATGTCATTTTAATTTGTTCGTGTTTTTCTAATAATAATATATATATATATATATATATATATATATATATATATATATATATATATATATATATATATATATATAACTAAAAAGAAAAGAACAGTAAGTTATATAATCCGGTGTTCTCATAGATATTTTATTTTTACAAAACTTTTTTTGAAACATGCTCAGAACTGTGTAGCGAAAAAACATATTTTAAATCAATTAATTTATAATATATATATATATATATATATATATATATATATATATATATATATATATGTATGTATGTCCAAATGTAACCAAGAAAATATATGTATATTATTCGTTCTCTCTCTTTCCATACACACAACATTACACACACACACAACAACGCACATTTTAAAATAGCATTGCTCAACATCGCAGTCTTTTTAAAAATAAGCACATTCTTTTTGATTTGCCCACAGTAATATTTAAAATCAAACTCAACCCTACTGGGGAAAATATTATTAGTCACCACTTAAGAACTGTCCATTTTCTTGATATCATGGCACCATCAATAGTGTACTGATATATTTAAGTTATCACTGATCGAAGCTTGTGAATTGAAGTTAACACTGAAGTTTATCATACAGTATAAAAACTTAAGCAAACATTTGAGCTGTCATTTGTAAATGCATCATGTCAAAAACAAAATTAATTAGTTTAAACTTGAGAAAAAATGTTGATTTTAACAAAGCAGATGAAGAACACACTAACTTATCAAGTGTCAAGAATTAAAGTGAAACGTAATATGAAGATGTTCGATGGGACGTATACATTACACAATAAGACTGGCAAAGATAAGAATCGAAATATTTCAAAGACTGTAAAAAAAATAATGTGTACCCGAGAATAGTTAATTACTGAGTTGAGTTTTCAATTAAAGTCTTGAAAGATTCATTTATGAGAGTCCACTATAGGAATAGAATGAGAGGTGAGAGAGTAAATGTAATTTATTTTTAGTGAAATGCCTTAAAATCATACGTGTAGTATATTAAACATTATGAGAAAAATGTTAAAATCCGAATTTTCGTTAATGACTGTGTCTTTCCTGAAAAGAAAAGAAAATGAATCGTACTTTTTGTGGGCTAGTAAATTTCTTATGCTCATGTGTTATTTTGACGATTAAATCTAGTCATTTCGACTAATTCTACGGCATGATTACGTTTGGGAAGAGTCGTAAATTGTTTTATTCATTGAATGTGCCTCAAATTCTCTTTAAAGGTAGAATGTTTTTAATAATTATATAGAATATTACTATTATAATATATAATGAATGTTATTTTTATAATAATAATAGTAATTATTATTATTATTATTATTAAGAATAATAATAAGTATTATTGTTCTGACTTATCGACATTTTTATGGAAGAGCGTAGAAGCTGGTGGACAAGAAGTTATCGGTGATTGGAGTTAAATTCTAGAGGAGTCGCAGTGTATTAGGCTTAATATGATAAACTTTGAAGTTGACGGTTGGTGAATCAGTCGATATCCAGTCAGTATCGACTGGGCAACCGTGGAGAACGGGAATGATGTTGAAAAACACGAGATCACTAATGAATCTTATCTAAAACGTCACTGATTATATGTGCCAAAGCATCAAACTGATGTATTTCACGAAAATAAATTGGTATTGACATATTTGTAATAATAATAATAATAATAATAATAATTATTATTATTATTATTATTATTATTATAGGCAACCTTATAATGTTATCATTACTTTATCATTAATATAAATATAATTTTGTTTATTTTTTATTTCCTGTTCATATTATTCTTACAAATATTTATCCAATCGTTTTTTCATCTTTCTTTCTTTTCAGCATTTTTCTTCATTGATTCCCTGTATATTATTTCAGGAATAATTCTTCTTCTTTATATGTCGTGTCCCTTCAGGATATAGGCGATTATGGTCCTCTACATCTTTCTGTCTTATAGTTCTTAATCAGTTTTGTCCTATTGTTATTTCATTATTATTATTATTATTATTTAATTTCCTTTGGTTTCTGGTGTAAACCCAGTTCTTTCTCGATCAGAGTCCTAGATTCAGAAATGGTATCATATCTTCCACTAAGCAATTTTGAAAAAAAACAGTCGCACATATTTTACAAAAACAAAGGCCTTCGTAAGGTGTGGGTTGTAGACATTTTTTGTATCTCCCCAAGGCATGGGCTAACAGGGATTCCTTCAATGAGTCTATTGGAATCTTTTCCAATCAATTCGAGGGCTCCAACTACAACTGAAACTGTGAATGTCCACATGCGCCACATTTTTGAGAATTCGATTTTCAGCTCCTTATATTTTGATAGTTTTTTGAAGCTTTATTATTATCATTATTATTATTTTTTTTATTTTTATTATTATTATTATTATTATTATTATTATTATTATTATTCTGCCTTGTCGAATTTCTTCGTTCCACAGATAGATAGAGATAGTCTGAAATTGATAGAAACATGCATACATACATGCATACATACATACATATATACATACATAAAAATAGACTGAGATCGATAGATAGATAGATAGATAGATAGATAGATAGATAGATAGATAGATAGATAGATAGATAGTTTACATGAAACCATTTTTGTATGTCTACTTAATTTTTCGGACTCCATTTTCCTATGCACACATATTGACGTGCGCATGCGTGTGTGTATCAGAGTATGAGATAGATAGATAGATAGATAGATAGATAGATAGATAGATAGATAGATAGATAGATTGAGAGAGAAAGAGAGAGCTGGAATGACCTAGTATAAACATGTGCATATTCACGTTGATTGTATTTGATCTTTAACAAAATAACAGAAAGACAGCACGATAATCACCAGCGCTGCTAGGTGGCGTTCCCTTCAACGTTAGGCTTCTCCTGCACATTCATACAGGATCGAGGCCTTTCTAAAATCCTTTCAGCTCTCCCCCCTCTCTCTCTCTCTATCTCTCTCTCTCGCCCTCTCTTCTGATCAAACGTCAACTTCAAGAAGCCTCTCCATCAACGTTTTTTTGCTTTTTTTCTTTTCTTTACTTTCTCATTCAACATTTTTTTTTTCTTTGTCAGAATTATACAGTTTTATTCTTCTTTTTGAACGATTGATTTTTATCTCTTCACGGCTTCAAGGTCCTCAAGGAATCATCTTCGCACTGTGCGTTTCACACAAATCCCGATTACAGAAGCGATGACAACTTCGGGGGAGGAGCAGAGATGAAAAGACGGCAATAGCGAAGATGTCGAGGGTAAGTTGAAAGCGACGTGGACGAAAACAAGAAGAAAAGAGATTCGAGAGTCGTCGAGAGGAAAGAAGGTGAGGCTTGCTGAGGGTTGGGCGGGCGCAAACTTGACGTCATTCCAATTAGAGAGAAACGAAAGTGAAGTGTCGCCGGCAAGAAGAAAAAAAAATATAGAAGAAAAACAAAGAAGGGCAAAAGTAATCCCTAGCTCTGCATTTCTTCATTATCCACCTTTTTTTGTTGGGGGGGTCGTTACCTTTTGTGTTATATATCCGAGGTCTTTTATCAGGGTGGCTCGCTTATTTTCAAGTTGATTTGCCACAACAACTGTGATTTCCAGTCATCTGGATTGTCACTATTTTTGTTTTTTCCCCCTTTTCATCATCATCATCATCATCATCATCATCGTTATTATCATTATTATTATTATTATTATTGTTGTTGTTGTTGTCTGTGGGTCATTTTCCTGCTTTGCATCCTATAGAGCTGGGTCCAAACTGATAGTCCTTAGGCCCTATAGGAGAACTGTCATTTAAATGATAGCACTTTTCTTAGTATACGAGATGTTCCTATTAGGGCGATCTTCTGGGCAACCTGTATGTTGATCTTACCTGGGACACTGTTAGTAAAATTGTCCATTCCTTTTCTCAGAAGGCCCAGAGCTCCGATTACTATTGGTACAGTCCCTGTATTCAATTCCTCACATCCTGTAAATCTCGCTCTCTAGGTCCTTGTAGTTGGACAATTTCTCGATAGTTTTCCTGGAGATATTTCTCTCAGACGGTACTGCTATGTCAAAAAGCATATGCACCCTGAATGTCTTATCTTTTATGATAATATCAAGTCTATTCGCTTTTATGTAACTGTCAGTTTGAATTGGCATGTCTCAGAGGATAGTTATATCGTTATTTTGGTGAAGTGTGTCTGGTTGCGGCTTATAACATCTCTCAGTGGTTTCGATTTTGTGCTTCTTGTATATCTTCCAGTGTGCATATGTCTCTTCCTTGTTATGTCTGTGGGCATATTCATTTTTTCTAGTTCCGGGCATCCTGAGATAAAATGATCGACAGATTCGTCATATTTTCCGCAGATCCCGCATTTCGGTTTAGTTTATTATTATTATTATTATTATTATTATTATTATTATTATTATTATAGGCAACCTTATAAAGTTATCATTATTTTATCATTAATATAAATATAATTTTGTTTATTTTTTTTATTTCCTGTTCATATTATTCTTACAAATATTTATCCAATCGTTTTTTCATCATTCTTTCCAGAATATTTCTTCATTGATTCCCTGTATATTATCCCAGGAATAATTCTTCTTCTTTATATTTCTTATAGTTCTTAATCAGTTTTGTCCTATTGTTATTATGCCCAAATCCTGTTCTACCATCCATTTACTCAAGCCAGTCAAGTATGTTACGCGATTTTTATCTCTACCCCGATTTCTCTCTCCTTTGAGTATCAGATTTTCCTAACCTTCCTTCCTCATTACCTCACCCAGAAATTTTAACAGGATCTTCTTGATGTGAAGTATAAATTTCCTTTTTGTGTTCGTTTTCTCTAAAACCTCGTCGCTGCTTAGATTTTCGGTCCATAATATCCGCAGCAACTTTTTGTAGAACAACATTTCTATTGCATCAAGTCTCTTCTTCATATGTGAGGAGATTGTCCAGCATTCATTGTCAAAGAGACTGATAAGAAAATAAAGAAAATGCAAGAAAGATTTAACTCACAAGTATTTAGACAGATAGATATAAAAATAGCTGTCATACGATATAATAAATTGAAAAAGGAAAGTATATATTACAACAACAAAAACAGGAACGATAAAAAAAATCAAATCTGTTAAATAATATACCGAGAGACACTAAACATTAACATAAAATTATAAATATTATATATATATATATATATATATATATATATATATATATATATATATGTTGAAGTTTAATGTATTTCGGTATATTATTTAACAATAAATCATCATTATATATATATATATATATATATATGTATATATATATATATATGTATGTATGTATGTGTGTGTGAAAAGTGTATGTATAAATATATATATATATATATATATATATATATATATATATATATATATATATATATATATATAAATAAATATATATATATATATATATATAATTTTTATATATTATATGCTTGGTACTTATTAGAAAGGCTCAATATCAGAGATAGAGTTAACATAGTTGGTTGGATTGATGTGAATTTGTCACTATGAGTTTCACACTTTTGCGATCGTCATACAAGGGTCACAAAACACACATATATATATATATATATATATATATATATATATATATATATATATATATATAGAGAGAGAGAGAGAGAGAGAGAGAGATAGATAGATAGATAGATAGATAGATAGATAATATTAGTAATAAATATACGTACGTATGCAGAATATATAAAAAATACATACATACATGCATACACATACATATATATTTTGTATAAAAAAATTCCAAGAGAAATCCAGGTAGAACTCAATGTCCAGGACAGAGTAAGAATATGATAAAAAGGATTAAACATTAATATTCCATGGTCATCATTTATTCCATTGGAATCGTAAATACGATCCAATTCACCAGACATACAAATTCAAAATTTTGAAATATATATATATATATATATATTTATATATATATATATATATATATATATATATATATATATATAAAAATTTTGAAAAAAATTTTACATATATATATATATATATATATAATGTTGAAGTTTAGTGTATTTGGTTATATTATTAAACACACACACACACACATACACATACACACACTAGACGTCCGTGTCGTCCTATATTTGGGACTCATGAACCACGGAGAATTGAAACCCGGGCAGTTACGTGGCTCGTGGGGGTACAGTTCTATGGGTAAAAGAGAAACTGAGATGAGTTCCACCACGGAATATGTGATGGAGCGGCGCTATATCGAGTCTGTCCTGTTTGCAATTCCCGGTAGTGGATGCGCACTGCTGATGAGGTCCAAATATAGGACGAAACGGCCGTCCAGTGTATTCTGATGAGATTTCTTCTAGACTCGATGAATTACCTAATTACAATTATCTCAAATCCTCCTATTTTTTATGATATAAATATTATGTTGAAGTTTATTGTATTTCAGGATATTATTTAACATATTTCATTTAGCTTTCTACCGTTTTTTTTTTAAAACAATACAACATGACAAAGACGATGTACATGTTGTATTGATAATCAATATAATTTATGAATATCTCCTGAAGATGGTTTATTAGACCGAAACGTCCGACGTTGACATATTTAACATTAAAACAGCATAATTGTATATAAGGATATCTGTTTTGTTTTTTTTCTGTATATATTTTTCTTCATCTCTCTCTCTCTCTCTCTCTCTCTCTCTATATATATATATATATATATATATATATATATATAATAATGAGAGGAATTAGAAGACTTTACTGTTTTCGCAATGGTATGATATGTTGGGCTATGCCTCTAGCAGTAAAGTTGAAAAATATTAAATAGTGACACAATGACATTCACATGTATTATACGCACACACACACACACACACACACACACACACATATATATATATATATGTACACATACATATATATATATATATATATATATATATATATATATATACATATAAAGTGAACATAGAAGTCAACACTTATATGCGACAGTCTGTTTCATGCTATGCAATAGCATGAAACAGACTGTTTGCATATAAGTGTTGGAATTTCTATGTTCACTTTTATATTTACATAAATGCTCTATCTCTGATATTGAGCACTTTATCCCATAAATATAGCACACCTAAGACTATATTTCTTTATATTTCTTTATATACATACATATATATATTATACATACACAGATATATATATATATATTATACATACAGATATATATATATATATATATATATATATATATATATATATATATATATACTATACACAGATATATATATATATATATATATATATATATATATATATATATATATATAATATATAATGGGAAAATCTTTTAACGGCAACGTGTTTCGCCTCTGTGTGTTAGTTTTGGCATCGTATAAGTTAAATGCGTTCGGATTCATTAGGTTAAGAAAATTAATAAATTAAATTACCTTTTCAGATCCTACGGACAGAAAGTGCTTTTTTCATTGTTATTAGACCTCGTTGTCTCGTATAGCGCATTGTGCAACGTTTGCGGAAGCCGTCATTTACAAATGACTTTACCTTCTAGTTCTCATTCACTGTCAACCTTCCTTGTCTTTACCCCAGAATTAAGATAAACAGCACTTTAAATATACACTTAAAACTCTTCAAGAATTAAACTCATTCACATTTGCCATAATGCCAATCAACCAATATATATATATATATATATATATATATATATATATATATATATATATAAAACACACACACTTCGCATTTAAAAATTGAACGGTTTTGCTATTTATTATTTGGGAATTTGTATAATGTGACGTCACCCTGGGACTCTGCCCCCGTGCTATCCTGTAACGACCAATGTGACTTGGTATTGGTCCTGGCGCCAAACGTGACGTTCTATCCCTTGCCTGATTCGGATGGAAAGCTGGTTAGATTCGGTATCAGCTTTGTCGTTCCCAGCTCGCCTCCAACGTCTGGTTACAGAAGTAACTGCTTTGATTTCTAGTCTAACCTCCCCACGTTGTGATTTGATCTTAGGTAGAAGAAATCAATCAGTCGTCGGGCCTTAGTGCAAGCCGAATTCGAGCAAAGGTGACACTGCACAAGTATATGTAAAAGAAAATAATGTAACAACTCGAAAGATTCAAATGTGTTAAAGAAAGTATAACAAATATCTTTATATCTGGTTGCTGAATACAGGACTGCATTTTTCTCCCAAACCGCTTCTATGGATATGTGACACTTTGCGTTTGTTAGGCGAATCTTAATATCTTAAGTTGTTTTTCAAGAAACTGGTTTTTGGTATCTTCAGGCGATATTCGTAAAGCTTTTTTTGGTGGTGTGAGTCTAAGTCGTTCTTGAAAAAAAAAT